GGGGTTATAGGTTGTAGGTTAGATTGTTAGTGAGTAGATAGAAAAACGCTGGTTTACAATTAATTCTATTCTTGTTTTCTTTCTTTTTCATTTTGGAGAGGGAGGTCTCCTCCCATTCAAATATCTTTAACATCTGTACAGGATCAGAAGAAAACTGGAATATATATATACATTTAATATACATGTCTGTATGTATGTATAGATAAATGTGTATTTATATATACATACATATGTATAGTAGAAATATACACGCAAAAAACTATGTGTGTATGATGTGTATATATAATATATGTATATATCTGTTATACACACAGACAGTATAACTATACTACTTAACCTAATAAGTAGAATTGTATTTTTTGTAGATTTTAGATGGGGTTTCAAATACTATTCTGCCAATCGCTCATGCTCTTACTAAACTGGGAAGAAATGCAATACTGGCAGCTCCTTAACTGCAAGCATTCCACTCTGTATTAAATATGTATACACACATACAGTATATATATATACACATATATATATGCTCGCATATATATCATGTATGTACATATTTACAAACAAAGGAAGTGAGTTCTCAGAAACCAGCTTCAACAAAAAAAAAAGAGTGCAGGCTGTCTGCTTTCTCCAGTGCGACTTGGGGGGACCTCCCTCTCTCTCTCTCTGTCTCCCTGTCTGTCTGTATTTGTCTCTCCCACAGTCAGCCAATATGTCCTGCTTCCTGCAATGTACTGTATGTGTATATATTTCCTCCGTGCTAAAGCCCATGTAAAAAGTTCTTTGGAGGGAATATATATAATATATGCACATACAGCGAACACTCCTACAAACTGTACTAATCACTAGAAAAGCAAAGCTGAGGAGGTGCTGGCGTGCTGGAGGAAACATTTCCTTTGTCTGTTTTACTGCCGTCACAGAGGTGCTCATCCCTGTGCTGCTCCCTGCTCTTTGATCTTTCTCTGCCAGAACAGCATTCATCATTTACAGAGCGCGTATACCCAACCTTCGGTACGTAGGGAGCATCTAATGAGACATAAACAAGTTGTCTCTGAGACAGGCGTTGGGCATGGTTCTCTAATTTCACCTGGAGGAAGTCTGCAGTGTCATGCTATTTCGTTCAGATGGCTCAGTGATCCTGCAGCAGGCCTGGCTAGGTTCCCTATGCATTCTCAAACGACAGACTATTCTGAAAACTGCCATTCTCGTTGCTTGTTCCTCCATGAAGTCAGCGGTGGCCTAGTTATGATCTGGGAGGCTTTGCCGTGTTCTCACCACTAACACAAATCATGTACAGTGCCTAGAAAAAGTATTCACCTCCACACACAGTATCACATTTGATGGGTTCCAAGTAGTATCCAGAACTTTCTATTCAAATGTGGAATAATCAAGCTGAAGACTTTTAGACGTGAGGAAGGTTGGAGCGAAACCTTGCTCTGCTGAAATGTGATTTTTTTTCACACAGTTAATGGATTCTTGTGGTGACTCCAGCAGGTTTTCCTACGGGATTCGCCTATATTTTGCATCATCTATTTTCCCTCAATCCGTTGTTTCTGACTGGGTGATCTGCTGTGTTTTACATTGAACACATTTTCGTCTCCCCTTGACCATAAAACCTTCTGTCAGTGTCTGCAGTACAAAGGCATACTGCATACTGTATGTGTCTCATACAAGCTGTAAAGTGAGTCTTTTCCAGAAAGAACTTTGTTCTTGACACTCACCCACTCAGCACAGGAATGTGTAGGAACCAGGATATCGTCGATGTATGAGCAGTGACTCCCATCTCAGACACAGAGCTTGGCATGTCCTTCAGAGTCATTGCTGGCTTTACAGTGGCTTCCCTAAACCCACCTGAGCACTGCTTGTCCAGCTGCTCCCTGATCTAGGTTGTGTCTGGATGGTATGGTGCACATTCCACTTCTTATTGACGGACTTCATTGTTCTCACAAACACAGGTTTGTCCTAAGCAGTGCCTCTCTATCACTTTATCCTTGATATGATTTTCATGGTAGAACTGTTGTATCACTATGTGAGCTGTGGCTTGAAATTCAAGATCTATCTGAGAGAACATACAGTACAGAGGTTACAAATGCTCTGAAGCTAAGCCGATCCACTCTGATTAAACAAAGACGGGGATCACTAGATTAATTTTGAATGTTTTTTTCAAGAGTATTCCCTTGCGCCTCAACTGATTTAAGGTGGTTGTAGCAAAGCAGCTACATATGCAATAGAGAATGTTCTCATTTTCTTAAAAAAATATCATGTATAATACGATATCAGCATTTGTAGCTTTATTAGTTTGGAGCAGATTCCTACTATGAAGTCCTTTTTGAAAGTTTATTGATTAAAAGCTCAAACAGCAGCAAAATATGAAATCTTTGCAGGAGAGTGAATACTTTTGCAAGGCACTGCATATAGAGCTCATCTCCAAAAACTTGGTTCATGTATATTCAGGGTATTTCCACAATGATGAGCAGGATGAGACAGACACACCATCCCAGCAACTGGTCAACATGTAAATACCATGATCTCAGTCAACCTGGTCTGGACTTTCAAGGGATTTTAAATCATGGGGGTGAATTTTGGAAATGGCAACTCACATACACACTTGTCCCCCTGACAACCGGAAGCATCCTATCATGGCTACAGCATTTATCCTCATTGTTCTGGGTAATGATACACAGATTGCACTACCACTGTGTCCTGTAAATTGATACTGTATGTACTTCCCAGGAAAAAAAATAGGCTGGATTTCTTTTTATAAGGAAGTCTTAATACTCTGACTTCAAGTCATAGCTAAGTGACTGTGCCATTGCTCTTGAATTGTCTGTACAGTGTGTGCCACAGAAAAAGTCTTTACCTCTGTGTCTTTCATGTCAGTGTCCCTTCATGGGAAGACTCTGCTTCAGGAAATGGCTTCCTGGGCACTTTGCACATGTGTGATCCTCTGGTTACAGTATTCCTGCATTTCAGCAGGGTCCTCAATAGGGCTCATTGCAAAGTGTTTGAACTTCAAACATAACAAAAATACACGTGTGGCCTTTCAAGGCTACTGAGTATACCTGAGTACATCAGACAGCAACTGTATTTAAAATTTTCTATGACAAACTACACTTCCTGCAGCTCTGTCCCCCCAGAATAGGGAATTGAACAGCATATTAACTGGAACCTGACTGTAGCCCTCAGTTTGTCCCAGTGGTTTCCAACTGGGACTGACCACATCCAGCGCAGTGTGGAGACAGGCTGATGTCCTCATTCCACTAGCTGGGAAAGAGATGCAGGGTTTTGTACAGTTTGCGTATACTGTATGTGTAATAATGACGGACTGATGTCCTTCGTTTTGGTCTCTGTCGTTCTTTACAGTCCACCCATCCCTCACCTGTTCTCTCTCTTTGAGTCTCTTTCCTACTCTCTCTCTCATCTCCATCCTGGGGAGCCCTGTTTCCACTGTGTGCCCTGGTTATTACGAGGCCAGTACACACATTTCTTTTGGAGCACATTTCCGCCTCCTTTGATTAGAAAGCGCTGCGGAAAACGGCTGCATGGACTCTAAAACCAACTTTGCTTTCAAAAGAAATTGCCCCCCAAATTGCTAACTGCTGCTGTGCGATATTGTTTGTGGAGGACAGGGGGGCAAGAAAGCAACTCAGATCCTGACATACATCATCATTACCAGATCCATAGGTACCCTGCTGGGACCAGCTGCCTCAGCGGGGGCAGGATCTGAGCAAGTCCTGACCCGAGTACTTGCTTCAGAGCAGGCTGCTCCATTGGACTGGCTGAGCTGAGGGAGGGTGTTATATTGAGGCACAGATCTGCTACAGCTGTGGCTTCATGCGCACTCCAGTGTCCAGCATCTGACCCTGGTTTTTAACTACCAAGTTAGCTGAACTCCCCAGACTTGGATGGGAAGTATAGAAGAACCGAAAGTTGATTTTTGTATGGATTGTTATATTTGTTCGCTGTGGCACAGGACTCCTCAGTTCTTGTAGATTTAGGCTTGTTAACACTACCCTTCTTTCTGCTGGCACCTACTAGCTCGGATTCTTTCACCCCCGATGCCATACTGCCAAACAAACACTCATGGCTGACTTTCCTCCTGTATGTACTGTCCCACATCTTCTCTTTGCCTTTCCGAAAACTCCAAACTACTGTTGCTCTAGATTCTCGGTT